CCCCTAGGCGGCGTTCACACATCGTGGTAAATTTTTGCGTCCGGCGCCGGTCCTAACCCGAAAAGTTCGTTAGTAGAGGCGTTCGTATCCCGAGGTACCACTGTACAGGGAAGGGGTGATGGGGAGCATCCGTACCAGGTTGCATTCTGGTTAATTTTTTTTGCGGCCAGCCAACCCCCTGAAATCATTTCCTCACTGTGTTTTATATTGTCTTCATAGCATTGCCCAGCCCTTGCTGAAGTGATATAAAACCTGACATTATCTGGAGGCTGAGTCATGGCAACTGGACTTCTTTTCTTTGGTACGTTTCACTGCTTGTCCAGAAGCTGCTCGGACAAGCAGCAAAACGGATCAAACCAGAACCAGTTGCCATGACTCAACCTCCAGATAATTCCACCTGGATGACTGAGAATCTTCATCAACAAAACCTGACATTGTTACTGTGATTTCAGCCCAACGATGGTTGGGTGACTCCAGAAGATGCTGTAAAGAGCTAGTGGGGAAATTATAGCATTTGGCGACTAGGCCAGTCCCCCAGGAGTCATTGTGTGAGAACACAGAAGATTGTTCTGAAAATTCCCAAGATATCCACTGTTTCAAATCCACGTTGCCTTCCCGGGGGAGGCCTTTACCTTCCCATTGGATTCTGCTCCCCTGTTCCATACATAGCCTCAGTTCCTACCATGCCTCCTGTCAGGGACAATGCTTCTGGAAGAAAGATGCTGAATGGAGTTGTGCCCCTTGAACTCAAAGATGCTTTTTCTAGTGGAGGATGCAGTAGACTAAACTGACAAAACCATATTGGGTTGTCAGACACAGCAGCCAGAATTCCGCCAATTGTTTCAACACCTTCCAAGGATGTGAAGGCACCCTATCGCCCCCTTTTCTGAACAGGATTTTCTTTTCTTTTCAGATGTTGTGCCTGAGATGCCCACCCGACCACCTCAAGTTGTCCTCCATCCAGTGAATTCAGACCCAATGTAAGTGTCTCACTATTTGTCCTCCTTTGAACCATAGTTCATTAGAGACAAATCTTTAGAAATTATTCCTTCTCCTTCTCCTTCTCCTTCTCCTTCTCCTTCTCCTTCTCCTTCTCCTCCTCCTCCTCCTCCTCCTCCTCCTCTATTCATACTGCCTTCTTAGGAAAGACAAAGTCTATTTTCCTGTGTGGGAGAGAACACAAGACCACATCCAATCTCTTTGATTCATGGTGCCTCTTACTAAAGAATATGGGTTTTGATACTTTTAATGGGCAAATCAGTTCATTTCTAATTGTATAACTTTCACATGTATTTCATTATGTATCCCTTATATCTCCTTTCCTTGAGATTAAAAAATAAATCTGCATTTGCTGTTAAACTGATTTTTGCCTAAACAATATATGTCCAGAGTGTTTTCCCCCCAGTGCATTTCTGTATGGATTGCCATCCTCAAGCACATTATTTGTAAGGCATCTTCTGGTCATGAACTGCTCTACAAGATTTGGGGAAGGCCATCATCTAAAAGTGCGCCATTTGCCATCCATGCATGAGCCAGAGAAATTGGCATCAAGTTAGCTTGCTTGAAAATGGAAACGAAAAGAAATGTCTCTAGCCTCCTGCTGTCAAGTAGTTCAGGACTGTAAGAGAGCTCCCCAAGCATTTTGGCACCACCTCTTGTCAGGGGATCGTGCCTATGTGCTAGTTAGCCAGAGGCATCCCTGCTCATCTCACCTGGCGGTGTTTCCAATGACGATGGAGCAGTTTTGTTTCTGAGCACCAGGATGGCAGCAGCTTGTGCCCATATGCCTCTGCTTATAAAATCTCTTCAAGCCTTTGGGCATATAGGGAAGTTACGTTCTCTAGCAAAGAAGATTCCCTACAGAAAAATAGAAGAAGGAATGCCCCATGATTCAAAAAAATCTGTTAGGGCAGGCATGTTCTTTTTATGAAACAGTGTCTTCAAGTGGGACTCAGGAGATGTGCCTTCTCTGTAGTGGGGCCTGTCCTATGGAATAGCCTTTCCTCTGAGATCTGGAGGACCCCAATCCTCTCAGCCTTCTGGAAGGCCATGAAGATCTGGCTTCTCCCCCAGGCACTGGGCCAGGATGTTAAATGAATCATTGTACAGGTTGTTTATGTCGTGAGTTTGTTATGCATTGTCTTAGGAATTGTTTTATTGTTATTTTTTAATTGTGTTTCCAGTTTTGTATACAGGGGTTTATCCTATTGTTTCCTCTTGTGCATTGGTTCTTAGCAGCCCAAAGTTATTTATTTAAAATGGGTGGTTTTACAGAATGTATCGATCAATCAATACAGTACAATATAATACAATAGCCTAGAATGTAAAGGAGAAGCTGCAGGTGATTAAAATGAAGTGGGAATATAAGCCACTGGCTTAAAGCAGAGATAGAGAAACACTAGAGTGGAATTTAGACTGCTGAGTGGTTAGCAGTTGATGGGCAAGAGGAGCAAAAATTTTTCCTAGTTCAAGAATACTGAGAAAAATTGGAGGTTTGCCTCAGGCTAATTGCTTATTTGTGTGTCTATATTTTTAAGGAGAAGCTGGAAAGACTATGGAGAGAAAGAGATTTTTCCCCCTGCATTTTAAACTGATTCTATTTTACCTGAACTATCAGAATTTGCCCATGTTTACATGTGCACAGTTATACAAAATGCTTGGGGACACCAGGAGGTGTGGGTGCTAAGAATACCTTTTGAGGGGATCTAATGAGAAAATGAAAAATAGTCTCAATCAGATTATTATTAAAAATCTGGGAAGAACATTTTAAGAGATGGAAGAGTTGTAAGAACATGGTAGCTGGTCTTTTCTTATTCTTTTTGCATATTAGAAGAAGCAAGAGGGCCGGGTAGAAATGTGCTGATACAAAAAAGTCCAGCTTCAGGAAATGTTGGGTGTGGTGTAGAGGCTAAGGAGTTAGACTTGAACTGGGGAGAGCCAGATTCAAGTCCAAACTCAGCCACAGAAGTTCACTAAGTACTGGGGGCCAGTCACATTCTTTCAGCCCATCCTACCTCACAGGTTGGTTGTAATGATAAAAAGCAGGAGAAACAACGTTTGCTGCCTTGAGCTCTCAGAGCATAGCAAGGATATAAATGCAATAAATTAATATGAAAAGAAAGAAGATTCTGTTGGGAAATAGCTCTTATACAGGTCAAAAAATCTTATACAGGTCAAAAAATCATGTCCTATCATAGTCAGCTGCTATTTTTTAAAAAAGAAAGAGAAATCTGAAAACAATGTAAAGAGGAAGGTGACTACCCCAAGTGATATCAACTTTGATACGTTGGCATGTGAGTTTACTCACCTGGTAGGAGAGAGAGACCATGATTACGATTGATGTGACTTACACACACACGGAAAATCGCTCTGTATGTTCTGGCTCTGCATATAATGTATGCAAATTATAATCACTGACAACAGGTCAGTTCTAACTTTTCCTCTGCAAAGAAAAAAACAGAAGGAAAAAAAAAAAGATCTTGTTTGCAACCCAAGAAGCACCTCTGGGCTTGAGAAGGTCATGGCGACACAGGGAGGCAGCTGCTTTATCAGTTCCCTTGGACAGACTTGTCCCAGGCTTTCAGGCCAGAGTAATTGACTTCTGCAAGGCGAGAGGATGGAGAGCGGCAGCTGTTCGTACATCAGAGATTAAAGAAGCCTCTTCCGTTGGAACGTGCGGCTTAGAGATGAATTGCCAACCTTGTCCCCACTTTGAAAAAGCAACACTCCTTTCTCTCCACTCTCATCTTCTCCTGTCTCATTCTGACTGAAGCCCATTCTGCTTCTGCAGGCATTTGGACAAACCTGTCATCAAGGAAGTTCCAGAAGTCCTCTTAGCTGTCCTTCTCCTCTGTCCTTCCTTTCCTTGAAAGCACAGGATTGATTTTGCTGCAGAGGAGGAGGAGGAGGAGGAGGAGGCAGCCAGGTTTCGCTTGCAGAGTGCCTCAGCTTTAACCTGGTCCTCAAAGTTCCTCCCACGCCCCAACTTTGCTTCCTTCCCCTTGCCCTCTATCCCACTCTCTTCTTTCATTGCTTTAAGAATTCAGGGAAGAACTAAAGGATCATTGTTAACAAGCAGAACAGTCAGCTGGTTTCTTTATTCAGCCACATTTAGCCATCAGGGCTCTTCAGAGAGCTTAAGCAAGTGAAAAGCAATTGTGGTAAAGTTAAAAAAAAAAAATTGGAAATCACATATCCTCATAGCCTTTATATTCCATTATATATATTCTTTAGATTTCATTTATGCATTCCTCTCATATCCCATCTTTCTTCCTGGAAGCTCTGCCAGCTTCTTCTATCACTTCACCAGTTTGGGTTTTCTCTCCTTCCTTCCTGCCCTGAAGAGCACAGAGGCGCTCCAGGACCATATGTCACCTCCCCACCACAAGCCTTGGGGTGGTCCCCAACTGCTTCCAACAGTTGCCTGTTAATCCAGCAAAAGAGTATCATCAAAGACCTGGAGGATAATCACATTAATTGTCTTCTGTTCATTTAATTGCAGCTCCATTTACATTTAAATTCCATTACAAGCCATGTGTGATCCCTGGTCTGAAAAGAAGATGAGCTACACATTCCTACCTGGGCTGTCACACACCTGTATGAAATTCAGGCTGAGGATCTTCTGCCCTTACTCAAACCACTGCTCCATTTTATGGCTATTATTTTCCATACCTGCATTAAGGAATGACTGCATCACTAACTTTTTGCATATAGCTTCAGAAAAAGACAGTTGAGGCTAGCGTTGAATTCAGAATTTAATCCCCGTTCCAATAAAACCCTCTCTTGCGTGTTCCCTCTGGCCCCATTGGAGAAATTTATTTGGGTC